TTAGGGAATTTTGAAAAATTTTCATCAGTTTTTTTTTTCAAATAAAAATTGTGCATAAGTTAACGAGTAATCTTCTAAGTATTGTACCATTTTGGAATCGTTACTGCGCCAACTTTTAAGGTTACTTGCCAAACTCTCGTAGTACATTTTTTTCCAGTACAGCCAGTTAAAGTTGAGCAAAGTTTTACTTTGGAATACTTGGTTGGGAAATAAGTGGCAATTTTTCCTGAACGAGAAAAGTTGACAGTAAGGTTGAGACACCAGTTTGAAGATGCATTATTCATCATTACATTGTAAAAATATAATCCAAAAAAGTTAATATTTGTAGTAACAGGAGTTGACAGACTGCCGTAGGGTGTGAAATTTCTATATCTTTTTCAAAGACCTATAATTTTTAAAACACATACATCAAATTTTTTTAAATATTTCTCTGACAGCTGTTATGACTTTGCCTATCACCCGGTTTCGGCTTGACGTCGACTTCTGGGACACCCTGTATGTTCAGTGTCCCTTACTTGTAAAATAATTGATTCGTCAACTGACTGCAATAATGTATTTAAAATCCACGGTTTCTTATACACTGATCGACATGCCTTTGCATCGTGCTCATTAGGTGGTTGATGTTCTGTTGGGGTATATCATTCCAGGCTAATGCAACTTCGTGAGTAAGAGCTGCTAAAGTCTGTGGAGGGTATTGCAAATCCAAGAGCCTGCGACCTATCATGTCCCAGACATGTTCAATTAGAGATAGGAATTCTAATAAACATACGTAGGTGTTTTTCTTTTTTTGTCAATCAGTATATAATTGCCGTATGTTTGTAACATTGTAGGTTTGTTCCAGCAAAACGTTTAATTTATGTTCAGAACATATATATACTAAGTGACATATAAATCCGAACACCCAGTTTATATGGTTTTATTTTAATAAAATTTTGTATAAGTACTAAAAATTTCAAAATGATTGCACGGCTTTAAAGCCATTTGACCTTTAATAATGTGTGGATGCACCCTGATGTGCTACGCATTCTCCAACGCGCCTAGGCATGCTTCTGATCAGGTGGTCAATGTCCTCCTGTGGTATCTCATTCCAGGCAACCACCAGCTCCTCTCGAAGTGCTTCTAGAGTCTGAGGAGGACGTTGCAAATTGAGCAATCTCCTACCCATCATATCCCACACGTGCTCAATTGGGAATAAGTCGGGAGATCTTGGTGGCCGTGGTAACAATGTGACATCATTATGTTGAAAGAAGTCTATTGTGACTCTTGCAACATGTGGTCGGGCATTACCTTGTTGGAAAGTTGGATCTGCCAGGGTGTTAAGATAGGGTAAAAGATGGGGTTCTAGAACTTCGTGGATATAACGCTGCGCGTTCATGTTACCTCTGATGAAGATTAAAGGTGACCTGGAACCATAAGCTATAGCACCCCAAACCATAACTCCAACAGTGTGATGAACATGTCTTTCAACAAAAACTGTGGATTCCTCCTTTCACCACGTCGCCTTCTAACCCTAGCACGACCATCGTGCATGCCTAAACAAAATCGAGACTCGTCACTAAAGACAATACTGTTCCATTCCTGATCCCAGAGTGACCGTTGTCTGCACCACTCAAGGCGATTACGTCGGTGTTCTCGAGTTAAAGGGAGGACCCAGTGTGGCCGGTATGAAAACAAGCCAAAACTTCTCATTCGTCGGTAAACACTTCTCATGCCAATAGGTCTTCCGTGTTCTGCAAACTATTCATTTGCAATGGACCTGGTAGTGGAGAAACGGTCCCTTAAGGCCAATAATCTTAGGCGGCGATCTTCACGGTCTGTTGTTCTACGGCGGCGTCCAGTGCCCCTTGCTCTTTGCGTACGGCCTTCTCGAAGCCATGCCTGACAACACCTAACCACAGTGTCTACACTTCTTTGCACTCTAACTGCAATTGCCCGAAAAGAAAGTCCAGCTTCCCGAAGTCCCACTATACGGCCCCTATCAAACTCACTAAGTTGACGAAATCGTACAGGTCTCCGTAAGAGTACGGCATCGTAACCGATCGTAAAGGATCGTAAAAAAAGCAGTATAAAAACCGGAATGTCCAACTGATAAGGCTGAAAATGTTTTCACTTGTTATTTACAGTACGATAAATACATTCACCAACTTTTATTAAAATAAAACCATTTAAACTGGGTGTTCGGATTTATATGTCACTTAGTATATTTCTTTCGCGGAACATCGGGCAATGTGATTCGAACAAGACCTTGCAGGAACGATTTTCTTAAATCTGTGTATCATAACCTACAAAACGCCAATTTGGGAACACGGTTTGGTGTTGCGAATTTAATTTGAAGAATGCGAGTTTCTTATAATAAAAATGGAAAAACACACCAGTACAAACGCACATGAATGCACTTATCTCCACTTTATGATTCAAAATTTGTAGCTTCAAATGTAAACCACAAAACATTGATGCGAAATAAACAGGCGTAAACGCAAACAAGAAAGTCAGACTTCCAAAATGTTTCCTACAACCGTTAACGCTACAGCTGAGCTGCTTTCCAGTGGTTTTTTTGTTTGAGAGCGATACAACGCGAATACAACATGCAGTGGAACGGTATTGGTGCTGGGAGCAGGGCTCCTGGAAAGCAGCTCAGAATTTCAACTGCGCCTGCGTTAACTTATCTGTACCATAAATAATATACGAGGGGGTACCCAAAAAACCGGAATTAGCTATTTATTTTCAACTTTTCCACAAAGTAACCTTATGTACTTCAAAATACTGTGCACTACATCTAATACACTTGTCTCATCGGTGCTTCTACTGTTCGAAACGTTTTTTGAAGTCCCTCGTTTTCTTCTTGACCTCTTCAATGTCGTTTAATAAGAAAAAGGCAGCGGAATCATGCCATTTTTAGCTAGAAGCTGTCGAACAGAGATGGCTGTGTGCGCAGGTGCATTATCGTGGTGGAAGAACCAGTCTCCTGACTGCCACAAGTCGGGTCTTTCTTGCCGAACACTGTTTCGCAATCGTCTTAAAACCTTCAAATAGCACAAGCACTCATGTTTTTCAACATTTTCGGGATGGACGTACAGAGTGAGGTTTGTCATCAATCGACATGTCACCATTTTTAAATCGAGCAAACCACTCGTACACCTCAGTTTTTCCCATAGCATCATCTTTGTAAGCTATTTTCAACATGAAAACAGTTTCAGCTGCATTTGTACCAATTAGAAAGCAAAATTTCACAGCTGCACGTTGCTCAATGAATCTGACTACTGAGGAACGAAACTGAGGTGGCACTGAACTGGTAATGAGTTGCGCTGTGCGCATCTATCAGCAGAAATGTGTACTACACAAGCTGCGCCCACTGCAACGCAATTCCGGTTATTTTTGGGTACCACCTTAATTATACAGGGTGTCCGCAAAGTTGGGGTTTTCCTTTACACGACCTGTAGATCTTGAAAACATATGCAATTTTTCTTAGTACCATATACACCAATGTCTTAAGTGAACCGAGATAAAGGGCTCTGCTACATCAAAAATATCTTAATACCATCCTGTAGCCGCGACCCGCGACATCCCCGAGTGGTACTAGGACACTAGCTCAACCCGACGACAGAACTGGGTCGGGGTCAGTGTGTCAGGTCAGTATGCAACCTTCAACCGACGGTAATGGTCACGCGTGTTGAGGTAATCGCGTAGACGAGAATCCCGCAACAAGCACTAGAGACGTGGCTAGAGAAGTGAAAGTATCAAAAACTAAAGTGTGGCAAACGCTGCGTGAAGAGGGGCTGTATCCGTTTCACGTCCAACGTGTACAAGCCCTTCAACCTGACGATTTTCCAGCAAGAGTGCGGTTTTGTGTGTGGTTGTTGCATCAACATGACAATAATCCGGACTTTTTGAAGTGCATATTAGTGACAGACGAATCTACGTTCACGCGTAATGGGGTGAATAACTTTCGCAACACTCATGTTTGGTCAGTAGAAAATCCGCACGCTGTCCGTCGGGGAGAAATGAAACGCTTAGTGTACAAAATTGAAGTGCATACGGTTGACGAACTCCGTCTCAGAATTGAACAAGCTGGTGCTTTCATTCGGGGGAAGGACTCCATTCTCAAAGCCTGCACCGATGCTTGGCTACGTCGTCCACGCACCTGTGTTTTTGAATCAAACGGCGATAACTTCGAACAATACCTATAAAGTACGTTTACCTAAAAACTGAAAACGCGGCAACGCCGTCATATTTGTTACCTCTGTTCGTGGTCTGCACCACCGCCGGCGTCTGCTCGGTAGCGCATCAGCTGATTTCATTTTCTGTTGGAGCGGTATGATTTCGGGCAGAGACGTACTTAGCCCTTCTCGTCAACTGGAAAGTGAGTACTTTTTCCATTATTTTTTTTTACTTGGTCGCCATCGTTTCACTACACATTACCTTTGTTACTTCAAGGGTAGTTGTTTCTGAAAAGGAAAACCCCAACTTTGCGGACACCCTGTATATTTTGAACACACCTTAGGCTATATGTTCCAGTGAAAAGATCGAAAATATAAAATGCGATGTTGTCCAAATTCTCCTTTGGTTCAGCACCTTAAGATTTTTTTAATTTCAAATTTGGATTTTCTATAAAAAAAATACAGAAATGTTTCTATATAAAACGCTATGTTTTATATCCCATTATGATACTTTCTAAGTAAAAAAATTCCAATTTCAAATACGGTTTCTCTTTCAAGGCCCGTAACTTAACAAGGAACGTGCCATGGGTCTCATCTTTTACACCTGCTAGATGTTCAAACAGGCCGAATATGAACGAATTTTAAAACCTCACTTTTTTCCGCTGTCCGCTTCACGTGAAATGCCTCATCTGCGACGGGGTGCACGAGGTTGCTGGACAACCGAACCTCGCTTCTGTAACACTAACCATTCCTGAGATCCTAATACAGTTTTGGGCAAACTGAATAACACCAAATACCTTCACTACAACCCTAAGCTTACGTGTACCCCGACCTATGTTTCAGCTCAATCGACGCCGCCTAGCAGCCACCGCCAGACCACGCCTGTCGCCATATCGGCCACATCCAGTGGACGTGGCGTGATCAGGCGTCAATCGTCGTTCGGCGCCTACCACCATCCCCCACCAGAGCCTCCGCCCCACCCTCAGTCGTCCGGAACGGTATCTCAGGCGGTGGTGGCACATCACGTCGCCTCAGCAGCTGTATCAAGTAGCACCAGTTATTATACGAATAGTCCTAGTCCGCCCCATGTCGCTGATATCTATGGGCAGCATCGAGGAGCGGTTACCCAAGATGACCTTTTGGTTAGTGTTTACGTTCTTCAGTCTGTAAGTTTCTGTTTAAGTATGTTCACGGAATGGGAAGTCGGGTCAGCGATAACAAAGCATTTGGGAAACATTACAAGTAACTCGTCACCTACCATAGTTCGGTTCCAAATTGGAAGGCAGTAGAGAACTGTAAGCGATGTTGTCACGCGCTCATCGAAGAAATCCACTGAAAGTCTATATATTGGATTTTTGCATGAACATTCAAATGTTGAGCAATTTTCTTCTGATCTCCTATTTAAAATAAGATATACAGGGTGTTTCAGTTTATTGTTGCATAACTTCAAGATTCGATAGAACTTTTAAAATTAATGCATAAAGTCTATATAAACATGGGTCGAAAAATGCGTGGCTTTCGAAATATAGGGTGTTTAAATTTACTTTCTAAAATAGTTTTTTTTAAATATTTCGAACAATATTTAATGTATAACAGTGAAAATTGGTATACAAGGGTTTTTTGGTACGACAAAACGAACCACGGGCATAGTTTTACTGTAGCCGCTAGAGGGCGCTCTCTACTGTACCTGTAGTGTATTAAAATGACCGAAAAATTTTTCTTAGTGCAATTTTTTGCTTTTTGAATAAAAAAACTGATTATTCACACTTTTCAACATAAAAAAGCTCTCTTGTAAATTTTCGTTATAGTTTTTGAGATATTTTGATTTTTAAGGTTCGATGCATTTTTAATTATATATGATAAAATAACGTTAAAAAGTCAGTATCTCGATAATTTTTAGAAGTAAGCTGCGCCTGCAAATATTTTTGTAATTGAAAGCAGAATAAGGTTAAACGTCAATTAGTTGACAGTTAGTTTTGTTGTCTGTTGAAACCTGAAACGTTTTTTTGCAATTGTGAATGCACGAAATTTACCTGTTTTTTTTTGTAAGTTTTATAAAAATGCCATTTTTATTTTCCAATCAAGAGTTAGCGGATATTCATTTTGTGTATGGCTTTGTAAATGGAAACGCAGCAGAAGCAGCCAGAGAATACGCGCGAAGATTTCCAAACAGACGACATCCAACTCGCTCAGTATTTGTAAGAGTGCATCGCCAAATAATTGAAAATGGATTTGGAAATCTCCAAAGAGATCAGAACATAAATGTTCGTCAGCGCAGATTTACCCGTATGATTCTGCGTGAGTTTGATAGAGATCCGACCACAAGTGTTAGGAAAGTTTCTGGTGCCTTGGGAATTTCAGCAAGCCATGTTCACCGTGTTCTTAGAAATGACCATAGACATCCTTACCATTTGCAACCTGTGCAAGGACTACAGCCAGGGGACGGAGAACGAAGAATCACATTTTGTCAGTGTTTGGTCGCATGAAAATCAGCATGCAGTTCGGGAAAGAAATTTTCAGCATGAATTTAGTGTGAACGTGTGGATTGGTATCTACCGTAATCGACTATTTGGACCCTACCTTTTGCCTGCAAGGTTAAAGGCTGAACATGCAAATATGTGGGATGATGTTATGTTAGATTTAAGAAGATTGGCCTGGTTCCAGCTTGATGGTTGTCCAGCTCATTATTCGAGAATATTTAGAAACTGGCTGGACGAAAATTATCCAGAAAGATGGATCGGCCGTGGAGGACCAGTCGCCTGGCCTCCACGATCCCCTGACCTAAATCCATTAGATTTCTTTGTGTGGGGATTTCTAAAAGAAAAAGTGTACCAGACTCCCGTAACCACAAGAGATATGCTAATAGACAGAATCAGGAATGCATCTGATGAAATAAGGCCTTATTTGAATAATGCACCACGTTCGACCATTCGAAGATGTGAATTGTGTATTGAACACTTGGGTTTACATTTCGAGCAACTACTTTAGATTTTGTATGTTTGTCCTAACTATCCAAGAGCATTTTCGTTGTAAATAATTAATTTAATTTGTTAAAAATAATATTGGAAAATTAAACAAATTCATATTGTTTTTTTTGTGTTTATTTTGAGTTACGAATTATTGCTGTGTTTAAAAACACAATCTAAACGATCATCTTAATTATTTGTAATGCCCAAATCGAAAATGTAAAAAAAAATATTATTTTCCCATAAATAATTAAAAATGCATCGAACCTTAAAGATCGAAATATCTCAAAAACGGCTAACTATAATGAAAACTCACAGGACAGCTTTTTTATGTTGAAAAGTGCGAAGAATCAGTTCTTTTATTCAGAAAGCAAAAAATTGCACTAAGAAAAATTTTTCGGTCATTTTAATACACTACAGGTACAGTAGAGAGCGCCCTCTAGCGGCTACACTAAAACTATGCCCATTGTTCGTTTTGTCGTACCAAAAAACCCTTGTATACCAAATTTCACTGTTATACATCAAATATTGTTCGAAATACTTGAAAAAAACTATTTTAGAAAGTAAATTTAAACACCCTGTATTTCGGAAGCCACGCATTTTTCGACCCATGTTTATATAGACTTTATGCATTAATTTTAAAAGTTCTATCGAATCTTAAAGTTATGCAACAATAAACTGAAACACCCTGTATAAGCAAAATCTTTAATCTCAAGTAGTCAAAGTCAAATCCTACGGTAAGAAGATCAGTAGCCAGAAGTCAGGCTTTACGATCTACATATCATTGGATAAGGTAGGCTTTATGATACTCACTCGATGCAATATTTTCATCCCCTGGGAAAACCTCAATTTTCAACAGGTCTGTCTTCTGGCTTATACCATGCCTATTCACGCTACGAGGGATTTCTCTTAAACATTACTGAAAAACATTGGATTTGACAACATGGAGCAGTCCAAGCAAATGAGCAAACCAATACACTAAGTATAGTAGATTAAGTGCGAAAATCGAATTTTGCGACCGGCCTATACAGGTCTCATTAATCAGCGCCACCTAGGATTATTGAACTACATCAAACATTATCTTCCTATAGGTCCCGTTGGATGCGACGACGGCCACCACAACAACCACAACTCCGACAACCACCGTCCAGCAACAGCATGCATCATCCGTCACGCCCACAGGAGGGGGCGGTGACGATTTCACGATGGGCGGAGCCACGCACAGCACGCGCGCACACCTCGAGCAGATCTCCAGCAGACTGGATCAGCTCACGCGGAGAGTACATTCGTTGGAAACCACCCTGGCGACTGACGTTAGAACCATTTTGTTGTTGCTACAACATCAGCAGGGGGAGGGAGGAGCAACAGGGTGTGGGAGTGGGGCGGGAGGGGGAGCAGGAGCGGTGGGAACGGAGGTGAGTTGAGCGGCTACATTTTGTTACTACAGTATATTCAGATAAGAGATAGACCGGACATAAACAAGACCACGTGATCATCGAACGCTGTAACATTCGGCAGGGACGTATTAAGAGTCACGCAGTACATATTTTAGATAGTAGATGCTGCTTTGCGTAACTTTGTAGTAAATTAGCACAATTCGATGTGTATACGATTGGTGATGGATATAGGATAATGTGGGGGTGGGGTAAGAAATATATAATGATGTAAATATACATAAGGGTTTCAAAATTTTCGCTTCGATTTCCAGCTTCGGATGCCGCCTGATGTTTGGTGAAATACAGTCGAATATAATCTCAAAATGGCGTTTAAATTAGCCTAAATTAAAAATAATCGTATATCTCTTAAAATTGCTTTTAGAATATTGATTAGTATATTTTTTGATTTCTAGGTAAATATGTAACCAAATTAAAACGTTCAAAACGTAAAAAAATGTGCATGGTTGAACATTGTCAGAAAGTAGATTCTTGAATAGGTTTTGCCAAAATGGGTTAAAAAATGTCAATAATTAATTAAAAAATACAGTAGCTTTATAATTACTTATAACTTACCGAATTTGATGAACGACATCTTTTATTGGAAAGATGAGCTTGATGAGCTTTCATCATCGCTACTGCCTGAAGCACCAACGTCAATAATTAATGGCTCGACTTGTTCCTCTAAAATATTATCCAGTTCCCACATTCTCTTTTCAACTTTGTCTTTCACGTGCTTAATACAGTTTTCCCATTTTTGCGCTATTATTAATTCTAGTGCTTCTTTGAAAAGTCCTTTGAGGTCACAAAATTTAAAAGTTGTATTGTGCTTAGCTATATAATTTTTAACCTCTGCCCATATGAGCTCAATGGGATTGAGCTCGCAATGGTATGGAGGTAAACGGAGCACAGTTTTATTTTGACTTGCTGCCATTTCGTCAATGGCGTATTTTTGATATTCCGCCTTGTGATCCTTGACAATTCTTAATAATTGTACTTTCAGCATTGCTTCTTCAAAGTTGATATTTTTCGAGCGGAGCCAATTTTGAACATCAACTTTCCTTGAAGCCGTTGTTGGGACCTTCTCCATTCTTCGAGAATGATAAGGCGCATTATCCAACACAATTACTGCGTTTTCCTCTAAGTTTGGTAAAATTTTTGAATACCACTGTTCAAACGATTCGCCATTCATTTCCTCGTGGTAATCTCCAGTTTTCTTAGACTCAAAGCACTACAGACCGTCAACAACAAATCCATCCTCACTGCCAATATGGCAGATAATGAGCCTTTTCCCTTTACCTGGAAATCGAAGTACTAACTGGTGTAGATTTATTTCAATAAGCGAACCTTTTTCAAATGTTTTCATCACATTCAGCGAAAAAACATTGAGACATGAGTATCAGATTGCTATAATTGGGATTATTTAGGCATATTGAAAGAAAGAATATTGAACGTCGTATGATTACTCAGCGCTTGACAATTTAATTTAAAGTTATAAACCTTTAAAAAATGAATGATCAGGAACCTGAAATACGCGCAAATATTAATATTAACAAATTATAACTTTATAAAGCTTAAAGTATGAATTAAAATGATTAGAAATATTAGGAATGGTACACAATATAAAACTTAGTAACTTTTTTTAAGTTTATAATATTCGACATATTTTAAGATTATATTAAAAAATTATTGAAATATCGAAAACACATAAAAACATGGCTTAAAAAAGTTCTAACAAATGAAAATGACAATAAAACATCCACGCATTTTATCGAAAGTTATAAAAGTTTTGTTACTTGTAATATGTTTTATCTGCCCCCTGGAATTAATGTTTAGAACCTTGTTCCCAAGGTTTGAAAAACATCCGATTGTTGGATATTTCTCGTATTTACCTGCTGGATTTTTTAATCCGGTGGACAGTCCATCTAGAAAGGCCCTCCTGGATGAAGTTACAGAATCATCAACCCATACTTTACTTGTAGTGTGTCCTGCGTTTACCCACGTTTCATCAAGGTAATAAATCTTCCTGTTTTGATTTCTATATTTCCCAATTTTTGTTAAATAATCCCTCCTCCATAGCACATTTTCTTCTCTATCCAGTAGTAAACTATTACGAGCCCGTTTTTTCCATTTGAAATTTAAATGCTTCAGTAACGCATGAAAAGTTGATCGTTTGAAATTTGGCAACGTTGTATCTCCATTTACCTCCTGCAGTACTTTATCTATAGTAGGTATTTCATTCCTAAAGAAGAATTCATGCACTTTCCTCCTAATCGCATGCTTATCAGCTTCATCCAATGATTTAACAATACTTTTGCGATGTTTACTGGTCATTGGCTCAGAAAAGGTGTGATTTTTTTTGTATTGTCTTAACACATTAAACACTGATGCGCGACATACCCCAACTTTGTGAGAAACCTTCACAACAATTTCTTTGATGGTTGATGCCTCGTTCTCCTCGCGCTCGATCTTATATATATTCAAAATGACCTCTTTCATTTCTGCACTCAGGTGTCTTTTTTTTAGAGCGTTTCCTAGGTGGACTACAGGAGTTTACAACTTCATCGGCAGTATCTGTACTACTGGGCATTTTGCGCAAGCAGTTGATAACAATAACAATCAATAACAAGGTATAACAATAACAACGACAAACTCAACAACTTAATAAGATAACAAACGAAAACGTCCAAAGAAATATCAAATTGCAATGATGCACACGACATACGTAACACGTCTGAACCTGAATGTGACTCTGCCTTGATACGACTGCTCTGCCGCTCGGCATAGGCATTTAATTGCGAATTGACCAATGAGGGCTCCTGTTTTACGTCGAGACGGCGGCGTTAGCGTGAAAATCACCTGAACCTTTTGTTTACATCCGGTCTATCTCTTATCTGAATATACTGTAGTACGCTGCAGTAAAATGAATAATACTGATATTAAATGTAGAACTTTTTTTCATGAAAATTATCTAAGATTAAAACTTTGAACAATGTGCTAGTTGACATTTTTTAAATAAGTATTGTATTCTATTAGAACAAAAAAATATTTCTATTTCAGGCCTAAAGGACTGTAAAAGACCGAAAAAAGAATAATATTAAACCTTCTGATGTACACAGGTCCTAGAATGAGCCCTCACCGAGCTACGGACGCTTATACCCCCGTGATGACATGTTTTTGACGTTTTTTTAATCATCTTGTTCTATAGACTGGGCCTCATGTGTGCTAAGATATCTACTTCAAGTCGAAGACTTAGTTTCTCGTAATATATCTCCGAAAAAGTGTTCGTTAAAAATTATCATAAACTCAAAAACCGTCGAAAAGTTTGGAGGCATTTTGATTTTCTTCGTTTTTCTTATAATTGCACCACGACTAGACTGCACTAAAAAGCTTAACCGACCTGGCCTTATTTCACAATTTCACTTAATCGGAGGTTATGGATTCTTGGACAGATGACAGTTACAAACTGACCGAAAAATCTTTTGAATTAAAGCACTTTCTTGCCTTTTCAAATCAATGTTTTTAACTCAAGTTATTCATCAATACAGATATAAAGGGTTGTCCAGTAGGGACGCAGGAAAGTAAACGTCAATTTGACATAGACGCCATCTTTGTTTTCTGCCACCGACATGTCATTTTGTTAGTTGAATGTTTACCATTGATCGCTATGGAGTCGTATTCGATTGAAGACCGCATTAAAGTTATTCAAGAGCACTACAAAAATGGTGCAAAAATAAAAAAACACGTTTCGCGCGCTTCGTGTACATTTCGGTCGCAACAACCGCCCAAACGAAACAACCATCGGTCGTCTGGTGCATAAATTCGAGACAACAGGTTCTGTGGCAAATCTGCCAGGCTCGGACCGGCCAAGGAGCGTTCGCACACCGAAAATTATTGCTGTTGTGAAGGAGAGTGTGAGAGATGATCCGAAACAATCAACAACGCGTCGATCCCAAGAATTGGGCATTTCGAGAACCAGTTTGCTCCGCATTCTCCACAAGGATTGTGTACACGCCTACAAGATCCTATTGATGCAAGAGCTGCGTTGGGCCGACCATTTTTCGCGCCGAACGTTCCCAGATTGGCTCCTTGAACACCGCCAAATTTATGCCAATTTTTCATCAAAAATCATGTTCAGCGACGAAGCGCATTTCACTTTGAATGGGACGGTAAACAAGCAAATCTGCCGCATCTGGGCGAACGAAAATCCCCGTGAGTATCAAGAGCAGCCGATGCATCCTCAAAAAGTGACTGTGTGGTGTGCATTGTGGTCAAAAGGCATCATCGGACCTTACTTTTTCGAAAATGCGGCCGGGGACGCCGTTACCGTCAATTCTGAACGATATCACTTGATGATAGAGGACTATTTTTTGCCGCAACTTGAAGTAATGGATATGGACGATGTTTATTTCCAACAAAACGGTGCAACATGCCACACAACCAACGTCAATATCCATCGATTGCAGTCCTTCTTCGGTGATCGCGTGATTTCGCGCAGAGGAAATGTGTCATGGCCACCAAGATGGTGCGATTTGACTCCCTTGGACTTCTTTTTATGGGGATATTTGAAAAGCAAATTCTACGTCAACACACCAGCCACCCTCCTAAGAACTCAAAAACTACATCATTGCCGAGATAAATGCCATATAACCGACCATGTTGCAAAATGTCATTGAAAATTTCGACCATCGCGTGGACGTCTGTAAATCCAGTCGTGGTGAACATTTGAACGATATTATTTTTCATACATAAATGGTATAAATGAACCTTCAAAATAAAGTACCCAACTTGATTTGAATATCAATCCATATCCCCATATTTTATCTGAGATATAGAAGGTGCAGATTAAATGGATATTGACTATTTATTATTCATTTCAGATGCCTGAATATGAAAACTTAGCACTAGATCCAAGTAGTAGAAGTAGACATATATTTCAAAGATCAGTTAGTGAGCCAAAGCCAATATCTAATAAGAATCATTCCCAAGTTTTACATAGGTAAGTTCAATAATTATATCATATCTACGTCTATGTTGTTTGTCTGCTATAAATAGGTAACTAAACTAAACAAAATTACATGTCTGTTTAAATTGTTGATTCTTTTGATATCGTCAGGGAGAAACATGTACATTTTCAAACTATTATAAATTATTGAGGGTTGATTTAGGTACTACTAATTTAAGATCATGTTTTCATCTAATATCGTATCTTATATTTATCTTTCAAATATAGGCTAATTTTCAACAATTATGGTTGTTGTTAAATGGTCATATGCATTTTTAAATGTCTGGAAAATCTCCAGTGTTTGACAACACTTTTTTAGCATACATAGTTCTCGACAAATGCGACAAGCTTAATGCAGTATCGTTTCATAAGATACAAAAAAATATAAAAAAGCTGTAACATCGTTCACATGATTGCAAACATAATATGTTGGTATAATTAACCCAAAACCCATAAATGTTTACCTTTCTCGACAAACGAATGGTTGAACTAGAGTTACCTTAACAAAGGGAAACCTTATAGTATATTTACCTATTGATAGTCTGCTGTATGTCTTCTTCTAGTTCATAAAAAAGATTTTTTACATAATTTCGACCAACCCCTCAATTAAAAAAACGCCGTCAAGTAGATTGACTCTGTACTTTCTATGCAACGCCGTAATCAGTTCATAAAGGATCAAGTTCAATATGTCTTTGTCACTTTGAGCAGGTCTTTTTTGTTAGGAAGTCAATACAAGTTATGAAGTCAATAGAAAATTCAAATCAGCACCTAAATGTGAGGCATTGCGAAAATGTTTGATGTGTGAATACCTAAAGTTTCTGTGATGTGGCTTAACAGTACACAGCGCAGGCGCGGTGGCGACTTTCCGTAGTGCTCATCAAAGTTTTTGAAAGCAAAAAAAAAGGTATTTAGAAAAGAAAAGACAACATATAGATAACCTCTCAGGCATAGTTAATATTTTATTGGCAACATATTAAGTAATAATTTCACTGATAAACACAGGATTTGTGACATGACAATTTTTGGGTGTATCGTATTTTAAGATCCTTAAATCAAATCTAAAAACAGTATTTTTCTATCAGCCACAGATATTCAGTAACGTCTACTTTTATTAATTACAATACGTGACAATCTCATATTGCTGCGTTTCTCGGCGTTTATGCGATGACGCACATATATAATATTAAAACCTGTCTATTCCTGTTTATTATATGCGAGATCTATGTTTAGAGAGCATCTTGCGTTTATTAGTAGACTAATAGCAGCCGAGTCAGTTACGTTTTCTGTGTTGAAGAGTACTGAGATGTTTCGAGTACTGTTAATTTTTGTTAAAACGGTGTGTTGTTTTTAGTTTATTGTGATCGAGACTAGCTTTATGGACACTGTCTAGAAATTGTGTAAATAGTCCGAACACTGTTTGTTATGTGTGCGGAGAGCTAACTTCGTTGTCACTTTGAGCAGGCGTTTTTTGTTAGGAAGTAAAAATTATGAAAAAATAACCTTCTTCCAAACTGGATTTAAACGAATATACATCAAGATGCTCCTGGACAATAGTTGTTTTTCGTCCTTCTTGATTAAGGAGCTTTGATCGAAAATGCGTATTTGGACCATGGGTTTATGGGTGTAGATGGATTCGCTGGACAACAAATTTTAGTTTTTTAATTGGATCTTGTGGGAAAAGTGCACTTCTTTGTTAATTTTGGGGCGCTGAATCCAAAAATGACAATGAAATAAAAAAATTAGTTGCGGTTTAGAAAAAAACTTTTTATTTTTAAGGATATATTAAAAAAAGTAACAAGATTCATATATTTATAAGAATCACTATATGCGCTGTCTTTTTGCTGTTCTTTTATGGATCGTTTCTGGAGCATCTCTACCAAGAGTCCAATAGTAGTCTGCAAGCATAGAAGGATTCCACTTTCCCTGGTACCTTTTTTCCATTGTTGAAATATCCTGATGAAAACGTTCGCCGTGCTCATCACTTACGGCTCCGCAATTGTCAGGAAAAAAGTCCAGGTGTGAGTGTAGGAAATGTATCTTAAGAGACATATTACAGCCCATCTTTTGATACGATGACAGCATATTTTTGACAAGGGTTTTATAGTTGTCAGCTTTTCTATTTCTCAAGAAATTAGTGACCACCAGACGAAAATCATTCCAAGCAGTTTTTTCAATACCTGTTAAAGTGTTTTCAAACTGTTTATCTTTCAAAATATTTCGAATCTGTGGCCCAACAAAAATACCGTCTTTAACCTTTGCCTCACTTAGTCTTGGACATTTCTGACGCAGGTATTGAAAAGCTGACCCATCTCTATCTAATGCCTTGACAAAGTTTTTCATTAGACCCAACTTGATATGCAGTGGTGGTAATAAAATTTTTTTCGAATCTACTAATGGCATATGCTGTACATTTTTTTGACCTGGCTCTAGGAATTGACGAACAGGCCAGTTTTGTCTGGTGTAATGAAGTGCCTTTGCCCGACTGTCCCATTCACACAAAAAACAGCAAAACTTTGTGTAGCTTATCTGCAGCCCAAGTAAAAGTGCAACAACTTTCAAATCGCCACAAATATGCTATTGGTGCTCATCGTATTTTATGCATGTCAATAGGTACTTCATATTGTCATATGATTCTTTCATGTGAACTGCATACCCTACAGGAAGAGATGGTAAAATATTTCCAATATGCAATAACACTGCCTTTAAACTCAATGTTGAACTGTCTATAAACAATCTCCATTCTTCTGGGTTATAGTTTATATTTAAAGCCGCCAGTAAGCCGTTAATGTTACTGCAGAAAACCAAGTTATTCTCCATATTGAAAAATGGTTCTAAGTCTTTGTGGCGTTTACGAAAAACACATACCGAAACATCGTCTTCTAACAAGTTCCACTGCTGCAGTCTTGATCCAAGTAACTCTGACTTACATTTTGGAAGTTCTAAATCTCTTACAAGATCATTTAGTTCTGACTGTGTTATTTTGTGCGGTTGGTGGCATGACGTGCTCGGTATAAAATCAGGATCTCTTGACGTTGATGGCATATCTTCTTCCTGACGAATCACTCGATCGCCATGATCTGATTCGTTTTCTGATTCGCAAGTGTAGGATTCTGGGGGTTTTGGAATAGGATTTTCGTCACTGTGAGGTACAGATCTCATCGCAGATGGTATGTTTGGGTAGTTAATAACCAATTTTTTATTCTTGGACATACCTGAGGCTTGTCCAACACAAGGTGCCATGCAAAAGTAACAATCATTAATATGATTTGTAGCCTCTCTCCAAACCATTGGGACAGCAAAGCGCATAGACCGTTTTTTGCCATTTAACCAGCTCCTCAGACTTGAAGCACATGTATTACAGCAGATGTGGGGTGCCCACTGTTTGTCTTGATCACCTAGTTTACAACCGAAATAAAGCTGATACGCCTTTGTTATTAGTGGAGTAATAGACCGTCTCTGAGACGCAAAAGTCACATCACCACACACGTAACAAAACTGATCTGGATTGTTTACACACTTTCGAGACATCTTTCATGAACGCTGTCAGCCAACTGAGGAAAAAATGGCTAATATAAAACAATGTAATGTACACGTATGTATAACGTAACACAATCATGCCGATTACATCATCTTTCCTTGCCGAATATAAAAATGTAGCACGTGCATTCTTGTGAATTACAGTCACAGCAGGAACACATATAATTACCGTATCTCTAAAACTTGAACTAATATTGAAAAAATAAGTTTCATTCCGGTTTTAGCACATTAAAAATAGTAATATTTTGTTGATTTTATTTAGGATATTTTTTGGCTGTTGATCAGTGATTAGTGGAGATCTGGGTCTATAAAGTATATTATATATCGGCATTTAATGCAAAATGACATTTAATCCAAAGTAACCTCACTCTTATACTTGTTGTCAACTATCCCTCTCTGTTTCGCTTTTTGTTTGTGCAGCTTTAGTGTCATTGTGAAACTAAAGATTTGAGGAGCGCTATTCGATTTGTACTTATTTGAAGTTTTTAGGTTCGCATCGTTTAATAAAGCCTTTGATTTCGACAAGTATCAGGAGCCTTCTTGGGCCGAATGCCTGATTAGCAAGGAAGGCAAAGAACACGGAGAGGAGAAAAGTGCGCCCATTGCTAAGTTAGAATCGCTAGACGAGTTAGATTTGGTAAGTTAATAATGAATTTCTAAAGTTTAGTCCTTGATAGTTATATCATGATGTGTTTAATCTTTCGGGTCCATACAACGTAATCAATATAATACTCATGATGTTAAATTGACTAAAATAGTAGGTTGTTACCCTTCATACCATCTGATAAACGATCTCCATGGGCAGCAGATTCTAGTTGGTTTCAGTATCAAAGCCGTCCAAGTTACACAAGCGGGTAAATATAATAAAGGACCAGCACAAAACATTATAAAATATATTTCTTGCCTTCCCGAACAAAACTGTCTTTAGGACCAATGCAATCCTATGATTGGTTTACGAGCAATGTGCGGATATTTTGCCTGATTTGTAAAAATGGTGAATGTGACGATTGTTCTCGTGCCATAAACTCGGAGAATCAATATACTAAAAAAAATATTTCATTAGATCGTCTTGTAGGAGGGTGTGAGGAGGTGTCATGTGGATCATCACCATAGTCCGTACAAGGCCAGTTACAAACAAAATATTTCTTTTAGTAAACTGATTCTCCAAGTTTTTGGTCTGAGATCTATAATCGGCACATTCACCATTTTGCAAACTGTCCGCCTATTTCTCCGAAATTAATCATAGGATTGCTTTCCCATGTACCATGGACACTTTTGTTCGGGAAGGCAACAAATATATCGCACTAAATTTTTAGATAAATCAACTAGGACCCAAAAATGCTCGATCTTATTACGATCCCAAAAATGCATACCACATCCACCATTTTCAGCAATCGAAACAAGGTTCCAAGGTAGCTAAAAGTGGTGAATGCCTTCATAAAACATTAACACGATGAACACGACAGGATTGTTTTTTCTACAGTTGAAGACGCAAGTACGGAAGTACTGGTAAACTACGAGGCACTCTACGAGTATATGCAAAAAATTTGTTTTTGACAAAACACATATTTAAGGGGGTGGGCTTCAAAGTAAAATATACAGGGTGTCCGCGAAGTTGGGGTTTTCTTTTTCAGAAACAACTACCCTTGAAATAACAAAGGTAATGTGTAGTGAAACGAGGGCGACCAAGTAAAAAAAAATAAAGGAAAAAGTACTCACTCTCCAGTTGACGAGAAGGGCTAAGTACGTCTCTACCCAAAAACATACCGCTCCAACAGAAAATGAAATCCCACGAACAGAGGTAACAAATATGACGGCGTTGCCGCGTTTTCAGTTTTTAGGTAAACGTACTTTATAGGTATTTTTCGAAGTTATCGCCGTTTTGCAGTGCAGACTTTGAGAATGGAGTCCCTCCCCCGAATGAAAGCACCAGCTTGTTCAATTCTGAGGCGAAGTTCGTCAACCGTATGCACTTCAGTTGTGTACACTAAGCGTTTCATTTCTCCCCAAAGAAAAAAATCACATGGTGTTAAGTCTGGAGATCGCGGAGGCCACGCTACGGGTCCATTACGTCCGATCCACCTATTCGGAAATAATTCATTCGAAAACTCACGCACTTCGCGTCAAAAATGGAGCGGTGCACCATCGTGCAGAAACCACATTGATTGTCTTACACCTAATGGCACATCTTCTAACAAGGAAGGCAAAATGTTGCGTAAAAAGTCTAGGTATTGCATCCCGTCCAATCGATTTGGGAGAATAAATGGTCCAATGAGCATACCGTTCACCATGGCAGCCCAAACATTCACCGAAAATGTTTGTTGAAAATGTGCCCGACGGACAGCGTGCGGATTTTCTACTGACCAAACATGAGTGTTGCGAAAGTTATTCACCCCATTACGCGTGAACGTAGATTCGTCTGTCACCAATATGCACTTCAAAAAGTCCGGATTATTGTCATGTTGATGCAACAACCACTCAGAAAACCGCACTCTTGCTGGAAAATCGTCAGGTTGAAGGGCTTGTACACGTTGGACGTGAAACGGATACAGCCCCTCTTCACGCAGCGTTTGCCACACTTTAGTTTTTGATACTTGCACTTCTCTAGCCACGTCTCTAGTGCTTGCTGAGGGATTCTCCTCTACGTGATTACCTCTACACGCGTGACCGTAACCGTCGGTTGAAGGTTGCATACTGACCTGACACTCTGACCCCGACCCAGTTCTGTCGTCGGGTTGTGCCAGTGACCTTGTACCACTCGGTGATGTCGCGGGTCGCGGCTACAGGACGGTATTCAGATATTTTTTATGTTGCAGAGCCCTTTATCTCGATTCCCTTAAGACATTGGTGTATATGGTACTAAGAAAAATTGCTTATGTTTTCAAGATCTACACGTCGTGTAAAGGAAAACCCCAACTTTGCGGACACCCTGTATTTATGCCACTGAGGTGTCACTCAACAAAAATTATTTAGAATTGTTTAATCTCAAGTACTTTTGCGTGATCGCTTGATTTTCTTATTTTCACCGAGGTACTGCTTTCGTATAAAAAATCAGAAACATATACAAATGAAAAAATGGTTGTTCATCAGAGAATGCCTCTCAGTGCACCGCATTTTGTTAACATATCTTGAAGGGTATCATAATAATTATAAAAGATAATGGTTTGAAAACTTCACAACCCTATAAATGAAAATTCAAGACGTAATCTTTTTCGTAGCCTGAACCCAAGAATCGCCTCCTTAAATATCTAACCGTTACCTTTGAAACAAGTTGCAATCACGTCGTCGTTATTTTCCTGATTGTTTGTTGTATAATTAGAAACCTCTTTTATAATCTCTTCGTCAGACATTTCATGAAAAACATTTTCCGCTTTATCCACTTCCAAATCTTCCGGACTTATCTGTGTTTCAGTAGCGAACACTGATTTGTGGAACGTTGCTAGGAGTGGTGACTATATCTGGCCATAACTTTTTCCAAGACGATTTAATAGTTGATGACGGTAACGCATTCCACGACTCACAAAGAGCAAAAACCAAGTCTTTCATATTAAATTCTTTTAAAGTTTTTCCTATTGATTGGTCTTTTGATACGGCTCCCAGAAGTAGGTTTTTCTTATAGTCTTGCTTGACAAACTGAATAATATTCTGGTCCATTGGTTGAATCAGTGCAGTGCAATTTGGCGGAAGAAACATCGCAGTGATGCATTTATCCTCAGTTGTTAGTTCTTCTTCAGACCGATGACCGGGAGCGTTATCAAGAATCAACAACGCTTTTTGAGGAAAATTATGATCTTTTAACCATCTTCTAACTTTAGGTACGAAGCATTCATCAAACCACTTTTTGAAAAGGTCTTTTGTCATCCATGCACTTTTTTATCAGTAATAGTGTACTGGTAAATCAATGTTTTGAATGCCCGTGGTTTATTAGATTTCCCAATGACCATCATCTTAAGCGCGTGTGTGCCCGCAGCGTTAGCACATGGTAGTATGGTTACACGCTCTTTACTTACTTTTCGTCCAGGTACGGATTTTTCGTTACAAGAAACGAAAGTTTTGTTAGGCATCACACGCCAAAAAAGCCCTGATTCGTCTGCGTTGTACACCTGTGACGGGTCAAGATTTAAATCGTTTACCTTTTGCAAAAATCTTAATTTAAACGGCTCTATGCAGGTGGCATCGTTAGAAAGTTTCTCTCCTGTAATAGTCATTAAACGTATACCATAACGACTTTTAAAACGTTCTAGCCATCCTTTGCTAGCCGCAAAATCATCTTTTTTTGTTATTTCCTTATAAGAAACTTAGCTTTCATGGCCAACATGGGTCCTGAAATTGGTGCATGCCTATTTCTTTCCTCAAGAAACCACATGTATAAAGCTTCTTCCACTTCTGGATGTTCAGCTTTCTTGAGTGTCTGTCTCTTGCCTGGCGCGTACAAGTTGTAACCTGTTCAAATCTGCGTGATCTACATTATCGAAGATTGTCAAATACGTATGTATGTAATACATATTCAAAGACATGTCGGATTACAGGGGGCGCCGGATTAGACAGGTGCCGAATTATCGGGGGTCCACTGTAATTCCATATTTTTGATTGCACTTTTGGAATATAATCTGCAAGGGAACCACAATTATGGGTATAAATAAAATGTTTTCGCGCAGCAGTTGGCAACTACAAGATTGCGACTAATTTAGAAACCGCGATTTTTGTTATAATATATATAACTCGGAAAATACTGTTCAGATATGACCAAATAAATTGAAGGTGCTATCATGGCAAGAACGAAAAATTTTTGAAGGTTTTAGAAATAGGTCCAGTGACGATAAAATAGTAGTAGTAGTAGTAGTAGAAAGATTTATTTAGCACATTTGGCTACATAAACAGAACAATTGTAAACAACTTAGAACTAGTAAATTCAAGCCATATGGTGTATGATGTAAATGCTGGGCAACCTATAATTGTAGATTTAACAAGTGATTTCTCAATTTTACTTTAAATTTTGTCAAAGTTTTCTGGTCTTTTATCTCCGAGTATAATTTATTATATTCAATCAACCCTTGATGGAATACAGATTTGTAGCATATGTTATACTTTTTGGTCATTAAATGGAAGTCATCTTTATTTCTGGTATTATGTAAACGATGGTCAACATTTGATGATGTTAAATTACTTAGACTTGATGGAAATATATTATTTTTTACTTTATAAATGAATATCATTACAAGATATTTGATAAAATTTTTTACATTGAGCCATTTTAATTTCCTAAGCATTTGCCTAATTGGAGTATATTTATCTTTATTTAGTATTATTCTCATGCACTTAGTTTGTAAAATTTGCAGTCTTTCAAAAATGGAATTATTTGCTAAATATAGAATAGTCGGACAGTACAAGAAATTTGGAAGAATGATGGTATTATAGATAATTTTTCTGCTATATGAACTCAGACATCCAGAAACTCTCGATAAATATCCCACTTTACTACTAATCTTATTTATAACTTTTTCATAATGAATATCAAAAATTAATCGAGATTCAACAAAAACTCCCAGGTATTTAAAATTTTCTACGAATTCAATATCTTCACCATCAATATTCAGTTGAACATTTGTACATTGTTTTTTTCCGATTAACAAGGCTTTCGTTTTACTTGCATTTAATTTTAGTCTGTTAGATGCTAACCATTTTGAGACAAGCTTCAAGTCTTCATTTATATAAGAGATACCAGACTGAATATTTTTACTACTTATATAAATCATAGTGTCATCGGCGAAAATTTGAATTTTGCATTTTTTGACTATGGCAAGTAAATCATTTATGTATAAAATAAAAAGAAGTGGTCCCAGGATACTGCCCTGTGGAACACCCAACGTATTTTCAATTTTTGATGAAATAGTGTCATTAACTTTTGTAACTTGCATCCTTTTAGACAAATAATTTCTAAACCAATCTAAAACACTTCCTGTTATACCATATGCCTTCAATTTACCTAACAAAATATCTCTATCATTCGTTTCAAATGACCTCTTCAAATCCAAAAATACTGCTATGACAACTTCTTCTGAGTCTATGGCTCTTTTCCAATTCTCAGTTACCAACTGGAAAGCTGTTTCTGTGGAATATTTTTTTCGAAAGTCTGCTTGCGCCTCCACTAAAATTTTGTTTTCTTCTATAAACTGCATTAATTGGTCATGCACTATGGACTCTAATAATTTTTCAATGTCTGGTAACACATTTACTGGTCTCATATCGCTGCATCTTTTAGAATTTTCTATTTTGGGAACTGGTGTTATTGTAGAGCATTTCAAATTTTCAGGGAAAGAACTGCTTCTCAGTGAACAATTGATCCAATTTAATACAGGATATCCCAAAATTTCGAAACAGTTTTTCAGCCCGTTTTTAGTAGTCATTTCGGCACAGTTGTTATTTGATTTTAAACTGTTTACTTTTCTTCTTAGATAATTCAATGATACGCTGTGAAATTTTGAAAGTGTATGCAACATTTCCCCCTGGAAACTGATTTTCATATAGTCAGGTGCAGCATTGGCAGTACCTACAATATCAACAATACTTTCCACAAAATATTCATTTAGTTTGTTTGCAATCACCAAAGAATTTGTTTCGGTACCGTTTTCGAATTGAACTTGATTTACACAATCATGCGGTTTCGAATTGATCAGTCTTTTTAAAGTCTTCCACATCTTTACACTGTCGCATTTGTTATTATCGATTTATTTATCGTAGAATTTTCTTTTGTCTTCTCTAATTACATATACACATTTATTCCTAAGGGTTTTATATACCTCCCAATCATCATTTGATTTTGTGAATATACGTTTATTGTATTGTTTGCTCTCAAATTTTGAGCTGCCTTAATATTCTTGTTATACCAGGGTGTATTTTTTGTCGAGCAAATCACTTTTTTATCAGTTGCAAGATCTAAACAAGTTTTTATATTTCCTATTATGTTGTCATATATTTTTTCCATATTTTCACCAAAATTCCAATAGGAGCCAGCAAGTTCTCGTTCAAGTTTACGATTTTCTTAATTTTTGTATCAGAAAAATGCCCTACCAAGGGCAGCATTGTCCAACTGTGATCGCTAACTTTAGGTGTATGTACAGCTTTAATGCCTGCACATTCGAAATTTACAATAACAAGATCTAACAAAGTCTCTGATAATGATGTTATTCTGGTACTCTTTTCAATTTTTTGCTTGAACCCATAGTTGTTTATGGTTTCTTTCAATTTTCTTGTTTTCATGCTTTTACCATAATAATTTAAATTAAAATCACCTAAAAGTATTATATTGTTTCTAAAATTCCACATTTCTTCGCATTTTTCTTCAAAAAACGTTAAAAATGTATCTGCATCACTGTTTGGTGAACGGTTAAAAGTACAAAGATCATAACGTTTCCCAAATAATTTGAACTGTATATGTGCATACCAGTATGCATAGTCTAAAGTGGTACAATCGAATAATGTGATCTGTATTTTGTGGTAAAAAATGGTATCGAAAATAAAAAAAAATCGAAACATGCACCAAGCTGACTTCGATATTTTTCAAGCACAAGCTAATTTACGGGCGTAGTCTAAAACATACCCGAGTTATTCATTGTCTTCATTCTTTAAAATTTTGAAACCAGACTTTTTTCATTTCTCCTCTTTTCACCAATTACCCTTAACATTTCAAGTATTTATTAATATTCAGGGTGTTCCTCTATGATATGCGAATATTTAAGGGTGTGAATCTACATGAAAAATTAATGTTAGTTTGCTTTAATAAACTATGGTCCAAAAATGTTTCCTTACAATTACTCTGGGTGTTTATGTTTTAGGAAAAAAATGGAAATTAATTAATATTTTCAGAACCGCCTCAGATATTTCACTAATATAGAGTACGTAGTGAAAGTTAATAAAGTTGCATATTTTTCAATGCAAACATATTTTTTAGCTTTAACAGTAGCGTGCGTGCGGGTATTGACTTCGATATTTTTTAAGAAAAAAATGGTTTAGTGGTTTTTTTTATATCGTTACCATATTTTAAGAGTACAGGCATTACTTCCCATTGATTTTCCAAAGCGTGTGATGTTTTGTCAGTGGTATCTTCAAAAACACCTTTAAATATTTGGATATCATTAAGGATCACCCTGTATAAAATTAATGTCATTGCATTAATCTATCGATATAAGGAAGATGCAAATTTTTCAGCGCACTTTGTCGCATTTTCCATTTTTATACAGGGATATTTTTATAGCAATGCCACCAACAACAAAAATGCAAACACTGTGACAACAATCCAGTTATTACTTTATAAACATTTTTGAATCTGTGAAACTGCGCTTTTTTTAACAAGATATTCTGTTCTCTAATGTTCCATATTTTTGTTTCAGGAATCTCCACTAGGCAGTCCTAAAAAAAGCAAAAAATAGCAGCAAACACAATAAATTGATGTATCAATTATTTCTATTGTGTATATTAGTTTGAATCGAAGGTCATATATGAGAGATTAAACAATGACGGCCTCTGATGTCGAGGGGCAGCTTTTATAGACTGTTGAACTATATTGTTATAAAATGGATGAACAGTGAGATGTAAATTTTCATTTTTCATGTAATCTTAAGAATTTAAATGAATTTATAGGCAAGAAACAAACTTTGTTTATTAACCCATTATTATGAATTTCGATGCAAGCCTTTCTGGATTTGGGCGCATATTCTGAAGTAGTTCGCAGTAGTTTAGGGGTTGATAGTTTTGGGAATGCATATAAGATTGTTATACAGGGTGATCAAAAAAACAGTGACACTATTTTAAGGCTGAATATATTCCCAAAAGTAATACAATAAATCCCTATTGAATGCATGGGCTCTAATATGTCCCCAATTAAAATGCAGGGTGTTTAAGACATATTGGGTATAAGTAATATTTATTGAAGTACGCGTTAATCTTAAGCCGAACACTTGGAGTGCTCGGCTCACAAATGCTCCACATTTCTGTAGAAATATTAGACATAGAAGTAGCTAGTGCTGCGTTCGCATTGATGGGCTATTGCAACCTTATAAAAAATAAAAAAACCGGCCGGTGGTAGCAGGCAGATTTATAGTCTAGTCATATTAGCAAATTTCCCCGAAATAATTGTAAGGTCTGGTTTTATTGATGCAAGTTGTTCAACGGGGGTATTTAAAACATGGACGCATAAAATGAGTGCAATAAATTTTGCTGGAAAACTTTTTATTCGACAACAAAGAATGAGAAAACGTATTTTTTGGGATTCAATCGAAAGTGGTGTCAGGAACCAAAAAAATCTTCTGAGAAGATATTCAGGTATTTATGAGACCTACAGAATGAGACCACCCGTGAAAAGATCCGACTAATAGTAAAAAGTTGTGGCCAAAAACCGAGGCAAAATGTAGGTTACGGCTCTTGTTGCTAATTCGACGATAATTTCACGCGGCTACTCGAAATTCTTCACATCCGTAGGCTACGTACTTCTAAATAACCACAATAAAATTGGAGTAGATCGGTCAAATAGTTTTTGAGAATTTCTAATTTTTTATCGCAAAACACCTGTTTTCCGGTCATCACTACTAGTTTATTGAGGAATATACAGGGTTGGTTCAAAGAGCATTTAATAGCAAAATCCACGCGTTTAGCTTGCCGATATGAATCACAAACCATTCTGAAAGATAAATGTTAAACAAAGGTTACGTTTTTTTCTTCTAATCAAATTCCAATATTTCGTATTTGTGAGTAATTCAACACATGCGCTACTAATAGTTTACTGAGCAAAGTTCGTTCAAAGTGCATTGTATAGCGAAATACACGAGTTTATCTTGCGGACAAGAATCACAAACCATTCCAAACGTATACTGTTATTTTTATGCGAAACATGAAGAGGATAAACACTTATAAATTCTCAAAAATTACTTGACCAATCGACTCCAATTTTGTTGTCGTTATCTAGAAGTAAGGAGCCTACGAATTTGAGGAATTTCAAGTGTCTGCGTGAAACTATCGTCGCATTACCAACAAGTGCTAAAACCTGCATCTTGCCTCGGTTTTGGGCCATAACTGTTTTACTATCAGTTGGATCTTTTTAAATTCTGTGGGTCTCATAAATACCTAAAAATTTTATTCGAAGAGCTTTTTGCTTCCTGCCAAATTTTACGATTGAATCCCAAATAACACGTTTTCTCATTCTTTGTTGTCGGATAAAAAGTTTTCCCACAAAAATTGGTGTAGCCATTTTATGCATCCACCATTGAACAACTTGCATCAATAAAACCGGACTTTACAATATTTTCGCCTAATATGATTAGACTATTATTCAGAGGAAGAGATGTAAATGGTGGTGCGACATGAGAATCTTAAAACACGAAGAGCTGTCGCCACCCGTCATATTTCTTGATTTTATGACATCATTACAAAATAAAGTTTTCTTTTGGGGCCACTCCATTAACAAAGTGTGTTCAGAGCTCCATCTCAACTAATAAAATAAGAAACCACAGACCGTGCTAACAGACGAACTACTCGCCACCTGTACTGGCTTGTAACCATCAAAGGGATTCGTCAGAAAACCGACACTCAAGTGGAGCACAATTTTCGTGTTACGTCACATTACACAATCAAGTTTCTAAAAAACATAAATGGTGTCTGAAATAATACAGGGTTTGTCCGGAAAGTAATAGGACTGAGTCGATTCAAAAAAATTTATTGAGCCAATCGTTACAATTCTTTAAAAACTTTCAAAATAGGCTCCTTCTGCGTCGATGCAGCGCTGCCAGCGCGATTTCCAAGGCGTCAAGGAAGGCATTCTCCGGAATAGCCTTGCGAGCCGCGGTGCATGCTGCTTGGATCCCCTCTGTCGTCTCAAAATGCTTGCCTTCCATCGGCCTTTTCAGGCCAGGAAACAAAAAAAGTCCGGGGGGGGGGCACGTCTGGGCTGTAGGGCGGCTGCGGAAGCGTTGGGACGCCGGCAGGTAGCTGTTCACAAGAAAGGCGGTGTGAGCCGGGGCGTTGTCGTGGTGCAACTTCCAGTCGGCTGCGATGTCTTGTCGGACCCGACTGACCCTTCGTTTGAGTCTCCTGAGCACTTCCGCGTAAAACTTGGCGTTGACGGTTTGTCCAGGAGGAACAAATTCATGGTGGACGATGCCTTTGATGTCAAAAAATACAATGAGCATCGTTTTCACTTTGGATTTGCTCATTCTTCCCTTTTTTGGGCGAGGAGACGCCGTCGTGTGCCACTCGGAAGATTGCCTCTTCGTCTCGGGATCATACTCAAAGATCCACGACTCGTCACCTGTGATTACGTTATTCAAAAATTGGGGGTCACTTTCACACATGTTCAAATTTTCGTGGCACACTTCCACTCGCCGCAATTTCTGGTCGTCAGTGAGCACTTTTGTGACCATCTTCGCGCACACCTTGCGCATGTTCAAATGCTGTGTCACAATGTCATGAATCACAGATTTTGGTAAATTTAACATCTGGGCAATTAAACGAATACTTAGTCGACGGTCTGAGTTCAAAACTTTGCGCACACGAGTCACATTATCGGTGTTTGTCGAAGTCGAAGGTCTTCCTTCGACCCCTTCCGGGTCGCATTTTAACACTGTGGTATAGGATTCGGCACCAGTCTTAATTTTATTGGTCAATTTCAATTTATTCAACCAATAACAAGCCGGGTGCCGAAATCACTACCGGAATGTTAAACAGTGCTGAGCATGGGGTCAGAATGTTATCAATTTAAATTTAAATTTACTTACCTTCCGCTAAAAATACGTAAGATAATAATCAACGCACGTCGTTGTTTCCTATTACGATATTTAATGATTTTAAAATTAATAATTTGGTTCAGCAATAAGAAAAATCCCATGAAAAATTTAAAATTATATATTATAGAAAATAACTGAATTTAAAAGAATGCAAGGAAATGTAAAAATCTAAAAAATCATATACTTTTTTTGGATTTCTGTATAAATAATCCGCGGGTGGAAAAGTGATATTTTCCTCCCATGTAATGTAAGAAGCTAAATTCTAATATCTATACACAGAGTGTATTTTCTCATTCAAGTACAGCATTTATCATTTCAGGGAAGAAATTATCACTTTTCGTGAAAAGGTAGTAGAAAATAAACATATTAAATGTGAATTTTTATTGGTCCGTTCAAAAATAAACAAGAAAATTCAAAAAACAAGAATATTCAAAAATAAAAAAGAAAATTCGAAAATTAACAAAATAATAATGTAATAGGTTTTAGTGACCTGTTCCATGAGACTTAGCATTCGGTAAATTTTGCTTTACATTGAGTGCTTCTCTTTCTTTTTCTTGGTGCGCCTTCTTCCTTTGGTGGCCGACCAATCGGTAACCTTTTGCAACCCCTTGTAATCCCTACTTATTTCGGGTCACTCATGAAGGCAACCTCCCCGACCAAAAAACTAAATTAACACACAAATACTCCAGATTTGCCTTAAAAATAATTTCACCAACTGATTTCCTCTTTTGAAGTAAATATTTTTTCATCAAATTAATATGAGACTACCCCAGAGGCATTTATACCCTTTCATTTAAAAAAATAATTATCATAATCGGATAAGCCATCTTGAAAAAATAGAAAAAAATATAGCTGACGAATTGAAAACCTCCATCTTTTGGGAAGTCGGTTAAAAATATATTTTGCATTCGTTTAAACAATAGTATGTCCTTCGTGCGCCTTGAATTTCCGAAGTAGGTATTCTGAAAATTAGTTCTAACCCAAACAAGAACAATCTAGCTCGAAAACATTAAAAAAAGTCTAAAAAAGCTACGATCGTGATTAGAATCAAATAAATAATCCTTTACAATAACAATACACTTACCTATATACAAGGCGACGCGGATTTGCGAGACCACATTTGAATCGCCAAGTTGTAAGAGTTTCTACCTCATAATCTGTCAGCCACTGCATGGTACCTTCTTCGTCTGTAAACTTTCCCCTGTATATATTGTTTTTTATTTTAACGCAACCTTCCATTGTTCTGCTCAACTCGAAACGTATTAAAAACGATGACGCTTGAACTTTGAGGTTATAATATCTAACGTAAACTGCGTAAACGATAAAGAACTTCCTTACGCATCGGCGACCTTCGAAATTCCGAACTGTATTTCGGTAATCCTCAGCATTCGGGTAGTGATTTCATCACTCGATATATTAGTAGAAGCAATTTGAATTGATAACATTCTGACACTGTTTTCAGCACTGTTTAACATTCCGGTAATGATTTCGGCACCCGGCTTGTCACATAAAATTAAGGCTGGTGCCGAACCCTATACCATAGTGTTAAAATGCTTCCCGGACTTCCAAAAAGGCCTGGTTCCACCGAAACACACCACTTCTAGCTAAAGCAACACCTGGGTAAGCCTGCTTGATCATATCAAACGTCTCTGTCGCGGATTTACCGAGTTTCACACAGAATTTAATCGCGTACCTCTGCTCTAACAAACGCTGCATTTTCGGCTTGCACCACTCACAGAAACACGTTGCGCGAAAATGCCTGTCCTGACTCTCCAAGTGCTCGGAGACAACTGACCGGCCGCTCATTCGTTAGCTAGGAACGCCCTCTACCGAATCCAGTCGCTCCGAAGTACAGTCATGGCGGAATAAAATTAGTCCTATTACTTTCCGGACAAACCCTGTAGAATCGATTTTAGACTGGTTCTCGCGAATATAGGCATTCGGAAATATTTATCCAGAATCCGGAGGTTTTTGCATCGAAATTTCAGCCAGTTTTGCGAATGTGAATGCGAACTTCCTCTTAAGGACATTTTGTGTATATTCAACTACTAATACCCACTCTTTTTGCATACACTGATGATTGCCTTAAAAGTTATATAATATAAATACTGTAAATAGTAGATATATTTAAACTACATTAATATTATTATTCGCCTGTATGGTTTAAACCATTATTTAACATTCCATTATATACGAGAATAAAATTTGTGATATCTATTTGTTAAAGTTTTGTACTTTATTGTATCTTAGACTGCGAGGATCAGCCGATACGAAGATATGTCTTTAATTATAATAATAAACAAAGTTTGTTGTTCTGACGTCGTGAGAGTCCGAAGAAACGGGCGCCAATAGGGTGGGAGACATTTGAGTAGTTCGCAAGTGGTGAGGCACATGTTTATGTTACAGTGCTTTTTTTAATGTCCCCCTCTCCTTTGATTTTTTGAACGGATCGATTCAAAAAATTAAAACTTGAGGTAATGAAACTGACCAATTTAATACAGGATATCCCAAAACAGTTTTGGGATATCCAGGCTGTTACGATGGAAATTGTTTGTGAAGGTCCAAATATAGCGTATGATTTGACATTTTCTTGGAGATTACGCTAATCAATGCTAATATGCTTCTGTCACAAATGTCTTGGCATTTTATAAAATCTTAGAATTATTTACTCAA